CTTAATTTTTACAAAATGTATTCAAAATATTTGAATTTGAAATTATATCTAGTAAATGCTGGCTATCTCACTTGTACCTATTAATTTCCGTGATGCATCGCTGAGCTTCTTAAAAATTTGGGTTCACCGCTTCCCTGCAAGTTTTGAATGTAAGAACAAAGATATGTATAATCTGAACATTGTTTTAATGAACTACGCATTGTTTTCAGTTTTTCTTCACAAAGCAACGACGAATTGTTTCACTGTTCCCCGTTCATTTTAAGTTTTAGTCTAGTCGAGTTCAAATTGATAAATATTTAATAGTTACAAATGGGTATATGTATCATGTATTTCAATTGAATCTTGAAACACGAACAATCAAATGAAAATCAGCACAAGCACATTTCAGTTTTCCAAACACAATCGACGGCTCAATTATTAAGAGCGTCATGTCCTGATCGGTAAAACTAATTACAGGCGTCCGATAAGGGAGAGGGCAGAACTGATTGCATGAAGATTCTCATCAAATAAGGTATTCATCAACGAAAAAGAAAGAGTGGGCTTATAAATAGTCAAGATATTCAACATGGAAGATTTACAAGTAGACTTGATGATCTTAAGAATGCGAATTTGTTGCGTCAGCTAAATTTTATCTCAGAAACTAATTTACTGACCTTTTTACCGTCGATAATTTCTTTTACTACCAATATTTAACCACTGTTTAGTTTTCTCTAACATAATGTTTATGAAAACGGAGATTTATGTCTTTAGGAATCGTGTTTCTGAGGAATGATAACTTAAAAACGTGTACTGAGTTTACTTCTCCCGACACTTGTCAATGTATCCTGGCCAGACTGAGTGCGATTGATGCAGATAATCTCGAGACGACAACATAATCTTGCTTCATCGCTGAGCTAAACGCTCGATCTTAGTTTATTCTCTCTTGTTCATAGCGGCACAGTCAGTGATGCAAATGTGCCATCCCGTTCAAGATTTCCGATTAATTTCCATCAGCAATGTCCGATTAATTCTACAGAGGGAAAGTCGCGTCTTTCACTTCTCTTCGATCCCCTGATGATTTTAATTGCTGTCTAAGTTGGCGCAAACAGATGCGCAAATCCAGGAACGAGTGCCACTAGATTCATAAGTCGAGTTTATCGAGCGGAAGCGACTGAAATAACGATGAAAAATTCGCACATGTTAGATTAACATGTACACGTCGATAACATTTTCATTATATCAAGATTATAGGGAGCTGTTGCTGAGCTTGAGATAGATTAAATTCGAATCAAACTCAATCTTTCTTTTCGAATGGGACATACATTTTTGTTGTTTGTAATCTCTCGTTCCATAGGAACAGATATTAAAGCTATGAATAGAAGGTTGTTTATGGCATTCAAATAAATATTTCAAACTGAATGAAGTATTCATGCTTAAAGTCTTTAGTTGATTATATAAAACGTTAGTAAGAGCAGACTGTTGAAAAACTGAATTTACAGCCCAGAGCAGCCTGATTGCCCTATAAATAAGAAATTCATTTCGATTCTATGAACTTACAGGGTGATTCGCGGAAACTTCCTTCTTTTTTATTTAGTCCTAAGCAGTCAGATGTTGTAGGAAAATGTCGTGAAGTATTTCATATGAAATTCAAGGTCATGGATATTTGTGTCCCGTCCCTTGGACAAGTGAGCAGCGTGCGTTTGCTTTCGAGACGTACTTTTCAAAAAGCCGTTCCAATTTCACTACTCAGCGAGCATTCCGCACTCGGTTCCGTATACGTCTTTCAGTTCGGGTTCCTGATCAGAATTCGATTGTTACGTGGATTAACACATTTAGGGCAAGTGGAAGTGTTAATGCAAGAGGGTCTGGAGGTCAGCGGACTACCACAACACCCGAAAACGTGGAGTGAATGAGAAATGCGTTTCAACAGAATAGCACGTGAACACGCTGCTATTCTGGGGATTTCGAATATCAGTTTGGTACGAATAAACCACAATAAAACTGAAATTTTACCCCTACAAATATTCTGTATCACAAGAACTCAGCGAAAACTATTTTGTTGCTTGCCGAAATGCATGTGAAGTGCTTCTTGAGTTCTTGCCTCACAATGTAATATGCATTTCATCATCAATCAGAAAGATGCAGCAAACGTTCCCTCCATCAGGAAGATCGAGCAAACATTCCCTCGATCAGGAAGATGGAGCATGCATTCCCTCGATCAGGAAGATCGAGCATGCATTCCCTCGATCAGTTTATGGTCCCCAACGAGGGATTTGAACGCAAATCCTCAGTCGCATCCATAATCTCCCGTCGCCATTTTTCCCCGTCGGAGGGCACAACGCTTCGTACTGCGCGTGTCATACGAAGATAAAAGCTGCTATTTAAAAAATAAAGGTGTTTTCATTATAGTAATTTGGAATGAAATTGTTTTTCACAAAGTTATTGACACCAACCGCCTCAAGGTAGGCGAGTAAATCTCGCTCTAGGTAATTTACATATTGATGCATATATATATTTATTTTAATTATAAATAAGTAACATGATTAATGATTATTCTCTCAGTTATAAGTGTAAGTAAAATTTATCGCTACTTATCATGTCGTCCCATTGGTTGTTCTTAGCCCGCCGCTGTTCTGAGCTACGTACGTCATCAGTTGAAGTGAAAGCGTAGCGTCGCTGCTGCGCCGTAATTTCAGGCAAATTGTTCTCGTCTGCCGCGCCCGCATGAAGAATTGCTTTGTCGTGTGCCGTGTCATACAGAAATGATAAACTGTCCGCGCGGATATAGAGATCACAAGCGGAAAAGATTTCCATTAAAGGCACGATTCGTTTCCCTAGTATTTTTAGATGAATAACTGTTGTGTTTGTTCAAATGACTCTTTTAGCGAGCGAGCATTAAATAGTTTATTTTGTTGTGGATGCTGTGCTGATGAAAAAGTCTCTACATTGTTAAAATATTCAAAAGTTTCTGCCTTGTTAGATTCATATGTGAAAATTATGATCAAGTGGAGTTTACCTTAATTTTAAATGCTTAAAAGATTAAGTGGCTTATAATTATTCATCATAAACGAGCAACGTATTAATGGTAAGTCAATTATATGCGTAAAAATATACAAACTCGATATTTTCATGCAGTTTGCAAAATATTTCGTTCGTGAAGTAAATTTTGCTTCGATTCCTATTCACAAGTCGATTCAAATGTGGAACTTAGAATCATTTGGGTTGAACGTTTGAAAATAATTGAAGCGAGAAACTTAAAAACTAGATTTAAAAATGGAAAACAGAGTTTAAGGTTACGTAAGCAAAAATATGTGATAATGGAGCTAAACTAACCTAACTTCTAACATAATATTTTCTGGAAATTTTGACAATGGTCAAGCTGGTTGGAATCTTTTATATTAGCTGTTCCTAACGAATAAAATCAATAATATAAGAAGCACAAGCATTCTTCATCAAGGTCCATCAACTTAGTAATACAGCACGCAGTTTGTTGAACACTAGTAGCGCGTGAGTTTTTTAACTTTATTCGCTAAACAGTAAGCTGAGATTTTTTAAGCATCTTTTTTGCCAGTAACTTTATAAGGGAAAAAATAAAAATTTCTTTCAACTATGAATAAATCACTGAATGCATCATATAAAATCACAATTGAATGCAAGATCACTAGATTTGCGCTTGAACATTTATTGTTGAAAATCGTCATTGTATATGCCAATTTATGCAACAAAGGCTGACATGTCAAAAAACTGACCGGCTACAATATCCTTATTTGTTGTCTTAGATTGCTATTTATTGGAGCAGAATCGGCGAAGGATATATAATTTTAATATATATATACCATATCGTGGGAGCTATTCAGTTACTAACATGTTCACTGATTATTCTGCGTTTTATAACAGTAAAATGTCACTTTATATAAAATTTATCAGAGACTTCTATATTTCAGCGATACTGGTAAGATCAGACCTCGGTAAAACCATTCTTATTCAAACTAGCTTGCTCATTTTTCAAGGCACACTGTGTAAGAAAAAGTACACTGTGTGTGGTCGAAATTAATTCTTCTGTGTTCTTGGGAATCGGAGCATCGACATGCAGTTATTACCTGTCCGAAACTTACCCATGCCACGAGCACGAATTAAATTTATCGTTACCCAACATTCGAGGTGTAATTCATGATCTCTATAATTTTTTTTATTAAAATTTTCAAAAAAATATAGGATCTGCGATAATACCAGCGTAGTACAATGTGGATCGTTCTACTGTTGCATGCTAAAATAAATCAAAACAAAACACGGAAGTAAAAAAGTGAACTTGTTTGTTCCTCGCCAGACCAACCAGCCGCGTTCATTTATTTCTATGCAAAAAAGTTTCGCTGTCGCAGCCGCAGCTGTCGCGCTCATCCGCGCCTGAGCCTCTTCGTGGCTTATAAGCTCGCGGCCTTCGCGTAACTTCTTTAGTGATCACGTATAGAATTAATGCAGCGGCATTACGCGATGCTTTCGGTATCGGAACCAGTGAAAAACCAATGATAATATTGTATTGGCAGGAAGGTAAATACAGCGGATATTTGTTTGTCGAATTTTAGTGACGAGGCTTTTCCCTTACTCGTTATTTGCACCTTAAACGCTTAGGTAGATAATTTTGCGGAATTTTGAAGTACGAGGTTTGATTTAGATGATTTACTCTCCCTAAAATTAATTCTTTTTATAAACGGATAAAAAAATAAATTGATATAACGCAAAGACGGAACCGCCTTCATTAATTTTTTAATAGAATAAAAAAGAATAACAATAGTAGCACAAATAGCGAAATTATAAATCATTAACGCATTTAGAGGTCTAATAAAAATCCAGAAGCCCGTTAAAAAAATTATACAAGTGTAATCGACACCTAAATTTTGACAACTCACGGGCTTTTCCTCTTAGGAAGACAGGAATTTCAAAGACTGGTTTTCCCTCGGACTTCTGTTGGCCTCTCAGACTCAGCAGCAATGTCAGTGGCTCAGTCTCAGTGCGTGCGTGGCTGCCGTGGAGGAAGGTTGGCGTTCTCAGCTGCGCATCCTGATCGTGCTCCTCGGAACAGACTCTTCAGAGCTCGCTCGAGTTTAACTAACTTGTTGACGGACTGGATAAAGTTTCTCTGGGTTTCATGCCAATCCTTTTCCCAACCACGAGCCCGGCGTAATGAAATTTGCGCAGCTTTGTTAGGATTTTTTTGTGAAAAGAAGAAACGGTTGTTGTGGCTGGAAATAACAAACTGCCTGGCACGGAATTGGTGAAAGCATATTCCTTATCATATAACATTATTATTTTAATAAACATTCAGCGTCTGACTTGCATGTATTCTGCCAAGAGAGTCCCATTTATAGACAGCACAAATATACCGGGTGGGAATAACGACCTAAATCTAGTAAAGAGTGGTTACTGACTGGCAAGCCCACGTAAAATTTCCTTCAAAATAAGCAGCTTAGAAGACGTGTTGACTGCAAGAAGCGCATCCGTAAACTGCGAGCACAAACAATGACTAAACAATCGCTGAGGTGAGCATTGCATGCAAAATGTTGTTTTGTTTCAACACGTCACAAATACGTGTGAATGTCAATCCGATGAATATTCAAATTGAAAGAAATGTTAAGAAAATGTAATTCAAACACCATTTCAGATTAAATTGACACATATATCGAAAATTACCGTATCCATATAATAGCAGCTGTTTGCCTCGAGTGTTTGCCATGAAAAATACCGAAATGCATTTCTAACTTCAATTATTCAAAGCGTCAGCCTAAATTCTGACGTTGGTTGTAGTGTTATTCGCTCCAAGCGCCGAAACATATTACTGTAGCTGGAGCTTATGTCTTCATTGCTATAGAACGTGTTTCTCAGGCAGATCTTCAGAGCCTATTTGCAAGCCATGTATTTCACCTTTACTTCTGAGCCTTCTCACGTGCATTGGGAGACTATAACAACGAAATATTATTCTCCTTTGATGTTTAATTGAAGTTTTTTATTAGTTCGAGGTAAAATATTTCGTAGCAGTCACCATTTTCAAATTTCGCTGAATTATGAGGACTAGTTTGAGTGCCGTCTATGAAGAACTCTGAATTCAATTTTTGATAGCCTTTCTCGGTAAAATTCCTCTAATTTCGCATTCAGTAATTATTACTAAACAAGTTCAGTAATTTTAATTCGTCCTTATCTGCAACGTACGGGAACATAAATACCTAATAATAATAAAAGTAACTAAAGATCTGACATACACCGCAGGCTTTACGTCGGTTTTACAAAACATTAATACATATGAAACTCTGTTTTATAAACAGCAAGCTGATTGGGCGCCGAATGCGATAAATGCGGTGCCGTCCACAGAACGTGACATTTTGATTATTGTCGGTGTAATTTTTTTTGTTTGAGCCTCTTGCAAGCGGAATGAATAATAATACCGAGAAATATTTTTATGGCTTAATTTCACTTAGTTGCCGAGAATTCATCAAAATCGTAGGATCAAATTGTGTATTACAGTTATTGATATATTTTATTCGGTAAATATCGTTCGAGAAAATACACATTTAATGGCATACAATACAATACTAATCGAATGTAATACAAGTTAAATCGATTCAATTAAAATAACTTGAACTTTTCAATAGCATTTATTAAACTCTTTTTCAATCGAAAACAATCTGAATACAAAATGAATTTCATTTACATGATGCCCTGAGCACTGGTCTAGCTGCAGTGATCCTGAAAAGCTTTTGGTGCTCCACAATGATCATTCGAGGGCAACTTTTCCCTTCAACTTCAAAATTGGTCTTTAAACTTGACAAACTCCTGCAAACTTTCATTAGTATGCCTCGCCGCCGAGCGCAGCGATAGCGCTGCTTTTGTCCTGCCCAACTCCATTAATCTGAGCTCAGGAAATTTCTGAATAACTCTACGGAACTTTTGAGACGCATTTAACTTACTTAGTGGTCGGTAGCGGGCGCATCGAGCCTCAATTGCGCATTTTTGACTAACTGTCCAAAATTCTTTGGAAGAATTTGAGTTACTTGGGCAGCCCTGGCAGGCAAGTGATAACTCCGCGTGGCATTTGGGAGGCATTTAAATTTAAGCTGCAATGGTTTTGTGAATGTATAGGTGATGTTGTGGGATATCAAAGTTTCAATGTATTTTTCCAATTAATTTAATTGTGAGCTGGAATTAAATTGAAAATAAATTTTCCGATGACACACCCATTGAATTTTTTCAGAGGCTACTTCAGTGAAAGGTTCACTTTTGAAAAATATATGTTCAATTTACTCAAGAGAGATTACTATGTCGAGCATCTGAAATTTTTGCCCTTCACACCGTAATAAGAAATAAACGAGGAAAATAAGTTAGCAATTAGTTTAAAATACATATTTTCTAATGGAAATTAGACACTCAACAAATCTATGTAAGGATTTTATGAATCTTTTATTAGCTCGAACAGAAGTCGGCAAATTATATCAACAGCTTCAATTATTAATCTTCTTGCATCATTGATTTCGTGTTGTTAATTCGTTGCATCATTGAACAACGTTAAACTGCTGCCCCTGACTATACTGCACAATCAGAATCTATGTCTTTCAGCAATCTACATTTGTTCTGCCAATTTACGCAGTCAATGCACTACACAGTTGATAAAATTCAACCATATTTACGCAAGAAATTCCACAATTACCTTCGAGCTTCGCGCGCAGCAGCAATATTGTGCGAAGCACCGAGCTCTGTGACGCGCACAAATTGCCAGCAGCGGCGAACGCAACAAGTGACTTGTAACTGCGCCGCCTGAGCACGGGTCCAGCGCGCTCTAGCGCATGCGAGACTGTAAACTGAGACGAGCTTTTAAAAAAGCATTAAACTAGTGGATGCTTTGAACCCCAGGAGCATCCACTACATTACATTATAAATTCTTAGAGAACAATGTCATTTTAATTTGTGTGCTGATGGAATACATTAGGTATTTAAATCGTAAATGATGTTAGAGCAAAATTAATTTCTCGCTCATTTTCAGTATTTGATAAAAGTTAGCTGATAGCGAGATTACTTAATTCATCATATCTTTCTCTTAGCAGATCCTGTAATTATATTATTGAGAACCAAAAGTTTTGTTTACTTGTAGTCAAAATTAAATTAAATATAATTTATTGGCAAAGCAAAATATTTATAATTAGTGTATTAAAAAAGGCACTATAATAAATTTCACTTGCGTTTATTCAGTTATGACGAAAAATTTGAAGATGCAAGCACCCTTTTGCTATATACGGATAAACGAAGAACATGTGGAACCTTTATATACATGAAATTCAATTTTATGATAGGTATGCTGACGACTGATGAAAAATTATTCCGTTAACATGAAGAAATCCTGAATGAATAATTAGATCGTGCGTTCGCAAATTTGAATTTTGCATCAGATGACCATAATGAGAAGACGGAATATCATATATCAAGAAGATGAATATCTTCTTCGCATTGAATGAGAATACGGAATATCATTGAAGACGGAATATCAATTGAATCACTAAAGATCAATAGAGGCTTCGAAAGAAATTTGAATTCAGATCCGGTTATAACAATTACACAAGGCTAATTTTTCAGGTTTCCAATTTAAAGTTTTGGCTGGGTAAACGTTTCCTTTAAAACAAAAAAAAACATGGAGAATTAGTCAGCCACCGTTCAACTTTCCTTTCACGACTTACGATTAATTTTTTTTATCGTAAATCATCGGACCGTACAATTAATTATCTTAGCCCAAATCTGGCCTGAAATAATCTGTTCTAATGTAAGTCAAACTTACACTAAAAATTAAAATAATCTCTTTCGGCATTTTTATTGCTCGAAAATCAACGAACAACGTTATAATTTTCCTTGAATCAAAAGTTGCTGAGAAACTTGCCGATAAAAATGTGGATTTGAAAATCCATGCAGCTCCTGTAGCGCCTTATTGCATCACTGCGTAACATGGGTTTAGAACGTCCAGGCATTATGTTACATGCCTTTCTATGCAAGATATCTTGCGGCATGCGAGCGCCCACGTTACGAGCTAAGACTGTGATTAATTTGGCTTGAAACTTCGCTGGAAATATTTGCGCTGAGAGCATCGAAGGATCGATGCACGTCAGGCTATGCAACTTCTGTAATATCAGGCTGGGACGTCATTTATTTTAACCTACTTCTCGGAGGAGTTGACACTTATCGTTCACATGTATTGATTTGTTGAATTGCTTTCTACGTTTAATAATTGAAGCTTGATAATAGGTATTAGAACACATTACTTGATGAACTTAAACTGACAACAGAGAACAACACTGTTGACAGTGTACTTCAACAACAGTGAACTTCAACTAACAAAATTTTTGAAATTCAAATCCATTAAACGTCGATTGATCCGAAGGCTTGAGATTACGATCGAACTCAAGTGGGTTGAGGGTCGTGTACAACGAACCCTTAAATTCAAGCACCGTCCATTTATGGGCGATATGGCTGAATGACTTGCATAAAAGACACCGTACATCATTATGATCATTATGATAGCAATAAATATCAGCTCACATGCAGAGGCTTCGGGTTTTGTTGACTGAGGGATGAGAAGACTCTAGGTCGATCCAGCAACTAGCGAGCACGGATGTGCTTATCCACTCAGTAGATGGCAAATCAGGGAATATTTTTGAATTTCTTTGTAATGAAATGAGATGTGAGCCATTTTCGGCTGTAAATATTTCCCTTTTATGAAATGGGCTGACATATTTTATTAGCTAGTTGATTAGGTCTGAGTGCACCTCGTGGTCCTAAATTCTTATTTAATTAATTTCAACCCAAGCAAATTCTAGCCTAACCTAACCTAGTATATTTTTCACGTAGTATTTTGATTTAATAAAAAAAGTTATTTAAATAGTTTTTTTCACAACTATGTTAATTAATCTTAAAACAAGATTTATCATGAACCAAGAAAGCAATTCTGTAAAATGAAATAAGATTTTCAATGTGAGTTCGAAAAGTGAAACTAATCAAGGAATGACGAAAAACAGACCTGAATGAAAAATACAAGTTTAATCGGAAGTGAAAAATCCGTTTTACGTTAAATCAATTTTTCTTAAAGACGTTTTCTACGCGTCCATAACTTATCAGAGGAAATTATTCAGAACTGATAAATAAGCAAGGAAGTTTGATGGGTCCTTGCTGCTTAGATCTGCAGCAAAAAAAAATCCTCGAAAAATGTTGCTCATAATTTTTGGATTAACTTAATAAATACATTTAGCCCGTACACATTAAAATTACGAAAAATATAAAAAAATATGCCGAGATCGCAAGAGCTACTGTAAAAGGAAGAAAAAAGTTTAATTTTGTAAATGATTGCAACTCTGAAAGGCCAAATGTAAATGTGGAAACTAAAATCTTCTAACATCGGGCTCCAAGTCTAAGCTTTGAAAAAATTCTTAAATTAAAGGGTTTTCCTCAGTCGGCTGAGAAACTAAACCATACTCTAAAATCAATTTATTAACTCGGCATAAATTTTTAC